GGGGAGTGGTTGACAAGGGGAGTGGTTGACAAGGGGAGTGGTTGACAAGGGGAGTGGTTGACAAGGGGAGTGGTTGACAAGGGGAGTGGTTGACAAGGGGAGTGAAGCGAAGGATACGAGTGGTAGATGGAAGGGGGCAAACATAAGCTCCCCGGCAGGGTAAATTCATGATGTGGGTGATGTAACAAATCGCAGCAACCCACGCGCGGCGGCTCGGGCGACAATACACCGATGGAGACAGATCAGGAAAGGTCGGGGGATTGTGGGATCAATGAATTGATAAAAGGAAAGTAATAAGTTAACATATGCACAGAAGAATGACTAACCTTTTTACTTCGACATCGATCACAGGCGCGAGATACCCTCTTCCGGCGAGGGGCTTTAGAATCAGAACCCTCGTCCATTGAGGAGGGTTATATGGTAGAAAGCAATGGCATAGCCATGTAGGGGTAGCAAAAGAGAATGGAGTGGTGGCTTTATTGTTGGCGCAGGGGAAGAGCGCCGACCTTCTGTGAGCCGAGTTAAAGAGACGAAGAAGCCGGGAGTAGGGACAATGAAGGCCGAAAAGGTGGTGTTAGTAGTGGTAAGTATTTAGTAGTAGTAGCAGCAGCAGTGGTAGTGAAGGTGGTCCTCGATTGGATTAGACTCTCGAACCGTGCATGGCCGCTTGTTATAAACGCAGTCGGGAAACCCAGGGCCCCAGAAGTCCAGATAGAGGTAGAAGGCGGGAAATTACGCAAGAATGGTCAGGAAGCCTTGGTAGGTATCAGTTGAACCACAGCCACAGACAGGGTCTCTCTGTCTGCTGCTTTTGGGTTGTCGTACTGTCGAAAGTGTTTGGGTCGGTCCAAGATGGGCAATGAATTGGGCCCGCCCCATCCTGAGGCAGCCAAGTTTAGAGATTTTTTTCTATTAGGGGGGAAATATGCCCGTCAGGGTCAAGGGTAGACTAGCGGACAATTAGTTTGGTCACTTGTTCTAGCAGCGGTCAAAGAGTCAAGAGTCAAGACACTGTTAGTGAGTGATGAACAGCGAACTGGAAAAGTGGAGTGGCGGGGGAAAATATCGGAACAAAAGTTCGGGAATGGACGAAGACGCGGAAGACGAGAGGAAGAAAGTCAGGCAGCACGCAGAGCGCAGGACGGAGTAGGAGTACGGAGTAGACTGGAGAGCTACTGTGAAGTGTGAGCTTACTGGAGCGATTCCGTCAGGAAGCTAACCTCAGGCGGCAAGGCCCCCCACCCCACGCCGGATCCCCACGGCTTCTCCACGATTCCACTGTGGGAAATTTTGAGAAGCTGCGAGAGCAGAAGTGGTCGTGGTCTGGCCGGGGTCGGGGTCGGTACAGAAAATAGCAACAGCATACATCCATGATACCATCCAGCACTGCCCTCCTGCTAAACTGTAAGTTAAGTACTGCATGGAGCAGATTAGGCAGAGGAGTATTCCGTACTACTACCTACCACGGCGTAGTCCTCTCGCTTGGAATACCACCAAAGTTTCGTTTACAAAAGTTGATTATCGGCGATAGTTAAACCAACCCAATGACAATAGTCAAAATTGCCGAGGACCGGCGCTCTGCCCCTCACCCCACAGAGGCGATATTGATGTAAATGTATGCACTGAAATCAATTAAGGCTCTGCTTGCGTAGTAGTGAAGGTTTCCCAGGAGGATCGATAATTAGATGGAGTACGTACGTAGTCCTGCGGCTCCAAGTGTTCACACCAACCCGTTTCCAGTTAAATGCTCCGGCTGTGCGCTGTCTGTGCCAGTGTGTCTATTATTTATTGCCCATGAATAATCTTGTCAATCTTAGTTACTCCCCAAGGACAGGCTGCTATAATTTTTGGGCCAGACTGGTTCGGCATCCCGATTTGATGTGGTCTGCAGAACTTCCATCCTAATGTCTACATTACCTTTAAAAACAAATGTATCCTCAAGCAATCATCACTTGCCTTCTGTCAATATGTGAAGTTGCCGGGTTTGAACAGGCTCAAAGTATGATATCAAAGCCATAAGCTCCTTCCGAACGCGAAGTTGAGGACACGATTCCCCATGCAGTAGTTTCTGCCTGCGACTAGAGTGGGGAGAAGAGGAGGGGAAGCAAGCTTTGCAACAAACCGTGGGTGGTGAGATACCATGATGAAAGGAGAGAGGAGCACCAACCAGATCGGCAAAGATCTTATCCGGAGTACGGTTAATGGCTAAGGTGGCAGGCGGTGACTTCTGACAAATGGCACCAAGGGAATTAATTATTGTGAGTGTGAGTGAGCCAGGGATGACAAGAGAGGAGGCGAAGATCTTCGCAAAAGCCCTCCTCCTCCTCCTCCTCCTCCTTCTCTTCTCCTCGTGGCTGGGAAATGCTCCGGCTCTGGGAGTTCGGTTCTGCTATAAACCTTCCACCGATCGCCCTGTCTTTACACACCCCATCATATCTTCCAAAGTAAACCAATCACAGCCTATCCGAATCAAGTCTTGAATTGGCTGTCCTTCGCAGCAGCATGCCCGCGGCCCCCGCTGACCGCCCTCGTCCTATTCTTCCCACCCCGCTATCTTCCCCAGGATAGCTTCTCCGCCGTCGCCGCCGCCGCTGCTGCTCAACTATCGATTGTTCTCCGCTCGCCCGCCCGCAACCACCTACATCATGGCTTGTATGGAATTGACTTGCAACAGCCGATAGACCTCTCACATGTGGCACTTGCCTAGCTCAGCTATACACTGACCGTACAGCTGCTCGATTACCGCACAACGAATCGTCCCTTTGCTCTGGGACCTCTGGGAGGAGCTTTCCCCGGTGCACCTGTTCAAGCTCGCGCTGCTCATCCTACAATCAACCTCTCACCAGACGCAATGCATAAGCAATCACCAGTCGACAAGCGTCGAAAGTTTGACCCGGATGCCTCCTTGGTGTTGGTGGGCATCCGAGGTTGCGGCAAAAGGTCTCTGGGGTTTGTCGCTGCTACTGCATTAAAACGACGATTCATTACTGAGGATCACTACTTCAAGGAACGCACGGGCTACTCGAGACATGATTATCTCAAGTGCTATGGGAGCCAAGAGTTTCAGAAGCGCGATATCGAAGTCCTCAAGTCCATGCTAGACAATCACCGCTCTCGGTGCGTGATTGAGTGTGGGCTGGGAAGTTTGACTCGTCCCGTGCAAGAGCATCTCCGGCAGTACTCGGCCACCAATCCAATCGTGTACATAATCCGTGATATGGATCGCATACAGAGTCTTTTAGGCTTGGAGGATCAAGCAGTCAAACTCATCGGTGAGGGTGATCCTCTGCATCGAACGTGCTCCAACTTCGAATTCTACAATATCGAAGACCGCTCCAGCTTAGCTGCCCAAACGGACGAAGGGACCCCCGATCGGCGCTGCGTCGATTATTCTTTCAAATTGAAAGAAGCCAAGGAAGACTTCACGCGTTTTGTCCGGTTCGTAACAGGCACCGATGTGGGCCACACCAGCTATGACTCGCCTTTTGTTCTTCTTGAGACGCCGCCAGAACTACGGTCCTATACGCATGCCATATTTGTCCGCTCTTCCGACCTTCTAGAGGGCACGGTGAAGATACCTGAGTTGGAATCGGGCGGGGATGCCATTGAGCTTTGCGTTGACCGCTGGGGTGTGGATATGGCAGCAACCATGAGCAAGCATGTTTCTTTGCTTCGAAGGAGCGCTCGCACTCCAATCATAATATCCATCGATACCACTTCGACAGGCATTGCTCAAGGCAACTCTGCGTCACAAGTCAGCAATGCGTATTTTGCCATCGTGGAGCATGGCCTGCGGTTGGGGGTCGAGTACTTGGCGCTCGACCTTAACCAGGACCGGTCTCAAATTAGCGAAGCGATTCGCACTAGGGGAAGGACCAAGATCATAGGCCAACGCATATTTCAGCCGTCGGCTCCCGAAAGCTGGGAAAGCCAAGCATGTTTTGACCTCTACCTTGAAGCCGAAAAGCTAGGCTGTCAGCTGGTCCGTTTTCTTCGCGTCATTACGGCGCGGGAGGAGAATGCGGCCGTTGTGAAGTTCACAAACAAGGTTCAGGCTTTACCTGGAGAACATCCACCGGTCATTGCCTACAACGTGGGCAGTTTAGGACGGACCTCCCAAGTGTTCAACTCCATTCTTACCCCCGTCACGCATCCCGCAATCGAGCGCTCCTCAGATAATGGACGCGACCCTCAGATCACTTCACGGGATGCTGTCCAAGCACTATTCCAGAGCTATGTTCTTGACCCCCTCAAATTTTGCATTCTGGGTGGCAATGTAGCCTATAGTCTTTCTCCCGCAATGCACAATGCTGCATTTAGACAATGTGGTATGAACCACACTTATACGATACCCGATTCTCCCTCCCTTGCGATTCTGGATCGGCTGGGCCGCGATCCGCATTTCGGAGGGGCGAGTGTGGTTCAGCCCTGGCGAGTACAGTTATCTCACAAGCTCGTGGCGAAGAGCCGCCATGTCGAGGCAATTGGCGCCATCAACACGATCATGCCATTACGGGCCAGCGCCGATGGCGCCATGTATTCCCTGCAAGAGCAAGCGAGTCGACGTAACCAGGCCGGGCCTGTGGTGGGGTGGTACGGAGAGAATACTGATTGGGTAGGTATTATGACTTGTATCAACCGCAATCTCTCCCCACGCAATGCAATCAGTCCCTTGAAAACAACGGGGCTGGTGATTGGAGCGGGTGGCATGGCTCGCGCGGCGGTCTATGCCATGCTTCGCCTGGGATGCCGAAAAATCTTTATATACAATCGGACATTGGCACGGGCTGAGAGTGTGGCTCGACATTTCAATTCTTGGGCAGCGTCTCAGGTGGACGCATCAGAAGTAGTATACGTGCTGGAATCACTCAAAGATGAATGGCCGGCCGGTGCTTGCCCTCCATGTATGATTGCATCCTGCGTACCAGCAGACCCTGACCGAGACGAACCGCCCGCCAATTTCGAAATGCCGATGCAGTGGTTGGGTAGCCCGACCGGAGGCGTGGTTCTTGAGGTAGGTTTCTTGGAGGAATCTGAAGTAGTTGGGCGTCGCTAATCTATTGAACCTAGTTCGCTTACAAACCATTGGACACGCCACTGCTACGTCAAATGCGTAGCATCAGAAGCGAGACGGGCCGGCCGTGGGTCTTGGTAGATGGGCTTGATAATGTAGTCGAACAAGCAATCTCGCAAATTGAGCTGATGACGGGACGCAAGGCGCCCCGGCGCTTGATGTTCTCGGAAGCACTTCGCAATTATGTCGGCGAAGACGGGCCTTTCGATGAAAAGACTATTCAGTCCCGACTTGAGCAGGTTCGTTGATCGGCCCGGGCATCTCGCCGGTGCGCAGCTGCTGCAGAATGACACATTGTACATATATTCCTGGGTTGACCTGCAAGTCTGAATAACAATGGTGAACGAAAGTTGGTAGTGCCCTTCTCCACAATTCATCCCCACCACGGATAGCTTCTCTTCTCATCCCGGTTTCCCACTCTCCACAATGGCTTGATAGGTCAACCACGACATGTGTAAAGTGATCGGGGAACAAGCACAGTGGGGTTTTCAACCCACTACTTTGCTAGCTCATTGGGCCAACTTTGCTAGGCGCCAGGCACCCATTTTAGCCAGTCCTCTTATTGCCTACCTTATCTCTGGGTCATAGAGGAGTCTACCTACGCCGACCATAACCGACTGGATCCGATCCATGTGCCTGATCTGACGGGGACCAGTGGCGCGGTGCAGAATGGTCATGGCATGATCATACCTTCAAAGTGTATGCAGGACGAAAATCAGGGCATACCTGCCTAATACCTATTTACTTGGCCCCTAAATCATCATCCAGCCAGTCGCCCGGATCCTTCAAGAAACGCTGATGCCTTGATTCCGCATAAATGATTACAGTCTGTATTTGGTGGGATGGTGGGATGGATGGTTGCGAGTGTGCATCCACCGCAATCAGGAGGGAGTGAAAACTGGACGAACAAAGCCACGGGCTCGGGAATGCATTGGATAGAGGGACGTGTTTACCCGCATTCGCTCAAACTCGATAACAGTTTAATTCGTGGATGATCAATCATTATTGACTTTTGGCTGCAAAGCATATATCGTCTCCAGTAATGAAAGATCAAGGTCCACACCTCCTTGTGCCGGTGCAAAGCTATGTCAAAATCAAAATGACAGACAAAATAAGGGGCTAGGAATGTATCCCAAGACCGCAAGCATGCGTTATCTAGCATCGCACGTCGCTGAAATTCCTCGAGGTATGAGCGGCATGGTATGGGTAACTGAGGTTACATGAATGGTATACTCGAGGCCTAACTCTGTTCCTTGCTCTGACACATTCCTTCATTCAGGACATAATCATTAGCGCTCACAAGCCTAGTCGTGATGGGATCAACCCGAAGCAAGCCGGCATGGGGATGCCTTTTCCGCACACGAAACAATATTATGTCCGCGACAACCCCAACCACATGCAGTTACACATGTTGAGACACAGCAAGGAAACTTTTTCCTCACACCACAAGGTCATTTGTTCCCAGCGCCGAGCTTAGGCCTCTTGACTTGATGTCGATATCAACATGAAGGCCAGATTGCCCCATGTCCATGTCCTCACCCCCCTCGTATCAATCCTGGCATTTTCCTGTCTCGCGACCAGCACAGAGCACACGACCGATGAATTCACTTTCAGCTGTGTCCCATTGACCACACAACTCTCCGATCCGATAGTTTCCCCAGGTGGAATATCGGAACATGTCCACGTGATTGCCGGAGGTACAGCATTCCAGAGGACAATGGGCGTCAACACCGCCCGCAACGCCCAAGAGACGACTTGCGGCGTAGCGATTGATAAGAGCAATTACTGGATCCCACAGTTGTACAATCAATTACAGAATGGCTCTTTCCAGCTCGTGGAGTATCAGTCGAGTGTATGATGCCCCTTCAGTAGTTCCTTTAGGCCGCGGCGAACTGACCCAGCCAATCAGGCTATATATTACCTCGACCGAGCGTGTGAGTATGGAGTTAATCTAACGAGCTGCGATACGTCGGAGTATCCATTGGCACCACCAGAAGGGCTGAGGATGGTAGCTGGGGATCCTGATCTACGGTTCGAACAACAGCACGGCCTTGATTGAGACCTCGTGACTAATGGAGAAGGACAGATCATACAATGACTCTGATTTAGCTCAGAAAGCCATATCGCACATGTGCATAGAGTATGACGGTAGCTCCAACGAAACAAAGCACTTCCCACGACAACCTTGCCAGATCGTGCGGTCGCAGGTCTTTATGCCTTCCTGCTGGGATGGTAAGAACCTCGATAGTGCGGATCACAAAAGCCATGTATGTGGAAACGACATAACATTGTTCATAGTTCCGGCTAATGTACTGTACACTTCCAGATGGCATATCCCGCGGTCGGGGATTATAATAAAGGTGTCTGTCCTGAATCTCACCCAGTGGCGATATACTCAATCTTCATGGAATTCTTCTTCAACACGGGTCCAATAGGGAGTCGCCAGAGCCTGGTGTACTCCATGGGTGACACAACTGGGTATGGATTGCACGGTGATTTCATTCACGGCTGGACCGACCAAGCTGCCCTGCAACAAGCTATGGACACCTGTACGGGGCCCAAGGGATTAGACGATCCTGATTGCTCGGTAACAAGAACCCAAAAGAGGGCCTTGACGCCCCTGTCGCAGCCTTTGGATGTTGAGGAGCCGAAGGATGAACTGGGACAGAGTGGACCTCTTGACAGCTTGCCGGGGGATAACCCTGTCATGTGGCCGGATGAGTCGGAGTGATATGGGAGCAAGTACGAACAATTGCGAAAGATTTGACCTCTCCCTCTTGAGATTATTGAGTGGAGATATTGACGATTTGGAAAGGGGGGAGACAATGGACGAATGAACGAATTTTGTCAAAACAAGACCAGACTGTTGTGATCTGTAGTTATCACTCGTGTTGGTGTGTATTGCAGTGGCGTTTGAAAAAAGTGGCCCCTCAAAGAAGCCCGGGTGCGACAGTTAAACCTCAGTAGCGTTGACTCCGCGCGGTCTTGCCCATCGACAGAGGCGAGTCGCAGTGAGGACTCTGATTGCTTCTTTGATTATTGCGCACCAGCTGATCAGATTGAGATAAGTGATGTAATGTGATGGCAAACGAACTTTCCCAACACCGAATTTCCAACGCTCGAAAGATCGCCATGCAACCATCAACTCAGATAGCCCATACCCTTTCTCCACCACTTCCAAACCCCCCGCTGCTCCATCAGGCCCCCAAATTCCTTGACTGAGTCAACTTCAGAGACGCCAGGCCTCTGCTTGGGGGGGTCGGTCCGCTCTCTAGCGCTATTTTGTTCATACTCAACCTCCAACAGCCCCGGTCGAGTTACCAGCTGAAAATCCTTATACCTCAAATTCCGCACGACATTCACCCACGACTCGACGGCGTCTTTGTCTCTCGCTTCCACATACATAATCCCCGGACAACCTCCGGAGCGCAGCAGCACGAAGCAATTGTGCATGTCGGCTGCCCGTTTGAGGGCGGAGACCTTCTTGCGCGAGGTGATGTGATGGGTGCGGATCAGAGCATTGTAAAACATCTTACGTCTTTGGGGAAATTGTCAAGCATAAGTTGCATTAGTAGGTGGGGTTTCAAACAGGACTGGTCCCCTGTTAGACTGACCCAAGCCTGACAATTGTTTGCCTTTCAAAGGTTGGCGTTGATTGTGTTTGTTGAGGTCAGGAAAAGATGTTGCTGATTGGAAGAAGACGAGCGGACCGCGGGCTGTTTGGTCGGTTTGCAGGTGACGTCACGATGTGTTATTTATTCTCCTCCCAATCTGGAAGGAGTTGTGAGGCGGCGGCGCCCCCGAGATGAGCAACGGCGATAAGAAGGCTCAACTTGCATGAGTCGCGCCGCATTGCATCTATCCATGAACATCCTTCTAGGTAACTCTCAATAGCTGAATCACATATTTTATCCCTCCACTTTTAAAGCCGCCTAGGCGCATATCTCCTCATCAAAAAATGAAATCGGGAGTGTCTATCTTGTACTGAGAGGTGAGTATCTTCAGAGGACTCTCATATGACGAAAAGCCGGTGTCCGTAACTGGGATTAACAAATTCACTCACAAGAGGCACGCGTCTGCTCGAGGTGCTTGCATCTATGCGATGGACCTGGTAAATTCTGACTATATCCTTCAGCGCGGTCAAATCTCATTGACTAAGGTCTTGTCATCGAGTAACTTATGACCATGACCATGGCTCAACTCGAAACGCTGCCCACTGAGACTCTGTTGGATATCATTTCTTGCCTCCGTGGTCCCCGTGATGTGAGAACGTTACTGAATCTCTGTTTAACGTCGAAACGACTGTGGATGATCACACAACCTTTCCTTTATAACGTGTTCTACAAGTATGTCTTCGATCATAACAACGGGATATATGTGAAGCGAGCGAGCCGCATCTGTCCCCTTCTCGCTTTCGCTAGAACCCTTGCGTTGCGACCTGACCTGGGTGGACAAGTATTTCGTCTCTGCATCAATGCGAATCACGACCCTTCAGACTCGGTTGGGGAATGGTCAGCAGCGGTTAGGAACGAAACCATCGCAGTGCTGAACAGCGTCATCCACCAGAAGCGGATTCCCTGCCGGCTCGACTATGTGACTGCCATAAACGGTGCAAGAATGAATCCGCTGATTGTGGTCATTGCTGCTCTCGCTCCGAATCTTGAGAACTTAGATCTTGTGAGCGGCCGCGAAGGTCTGAGAGGCTTGAGGCCACTTTATCTCCCAGGGCCTGATGGTAGACCTGCATATCTGTCTAGGTTGAAGTCTCTTCACATAAAAGATAAGTTAAAAATGCGACATCCGACTATGCCGGAAGTGGTCGACTTAATGTGCTTGCCTAGCCTGAAGGAATTCTCCTTGGCGTTTTGCGAGGGCAACGGCTCTGGGTGTCCATTCTTTGAGCTTCCACCCGGTTCTTTCAAATTTTCCGAGTTACACCTCATAAGAGCTTCACTGGATGCAACACGACTGACAAATATCATGCGGGCGTGTGAAAATCTCGAGGTCCTCGCATACGAAACAACGGTGCCTTGGGATGCCCGAAGGAGGGTGAGCTGTCAGTTCCCAGCCCCGGCGCTACTTCCCTGTCTGGAGCCTCAACGTCAAAATCTCAAGTCGCTGCGCGTCGACCTGGATGTGGCCAACCCCATAGCCATTGAGAAATGGCATCGTTGCCCCCAGTACGGAAGTTTCCGGGCATTCGAGAACCTCAAGCACTTGGAGGTGGAGCAAGGCATACTACATGATTTCGGCAATTTGCCACCCAATATCGAGACTGTCACAGTTCTCGCTTGCGATTATCCAGTCTATGACATGATGGCTGGATTGGCTGAGTATTGCAAAAATGACTTTTCACGTCTAGAACTTGTTTCTCTGAGGCCCAAATTCCCTCCTGCGAGCGGCTTGCTCGGTATCCCTGGCGCGTACGCCTTCAACGATCTGGAGGATGATGATTGGTTTCGAGAGCAGTATAGAGTCGGTTGCGCAACTTTGGATACTATTGTCAATGACGTCAATTTTGAACTCGAGGTCGAGTGCGATGGGTGGGAAATGTATCAACACGGCGAACTGTGAACTGGCCACCGATGGCGAATAGAGGAGACAAGTGTTGGAAGGGATCCAGTGGACCCAGTATTTCTTTTTGGTACGATTGATATCATATGGACCCTTTGTACGAAAGTATCTCCCCTACAATCTTTCAGGACAAGCTTTTCCGTCTAACAAGACTGCTTCAGAGCGTGTCCTGCAGTAGGTGAAGTATACGGGTTCTATGTGGAAATGCCATATTGAACGATTTTGGTAACAACAATGAAAATCATAGGCACGGAGGCTAGATACAAAAGTCCATAGTGGTGATACAATATCTTTATTGATTCTAATATCAGTTCTCAAATATCGAGGAGCGTCCGTTGCGCGTGTAAGTCACCTGCAAAAATCATATCCTGTGTGACTTGATGAGATAGTAGGATCCTAAACATCAGCTGCCAGCTTCCACACACTGACCGGAAGCGGCACCGATCCGATAGCCTCGGGCAGCTTGCTATGATCGAGAAACCATGGGCTGGTGATGTGGGCCCATCCCATGACAAAGGCCATATTAACCAGCCAGATCGCCAACCGGGAGAACACATTTTGAGGGAGAAACAGCGGAAGAAAGCGATCAGAGAGGAGATGTTGCGCGGCGATGCAGAGCGGCAAGATGCAGAAGAAGGTCATCATCATACTGACTGCGAAGACGTCCTGAGAAACTGCGTACGTTCCGGCCACATGCACGACACCGGACACAAAGAACGTCAACGAGATCACCAGGAAGCGCTGCAGGCCCATTGGGATCGGTTTCACAGGCATGATGGCCGCGCGGGAAAGCGCCAAGAAGGGATTGCGACAGAGGTCATGCCACATCTTGCCCCAGATATCTTGATCGAAGACAACAAATAGATCTCTAGTCAGCCAAAATATCAATCTCAGGGTGAAGAAGAAGTGTGATCATACCACGCAAATTGAACGCGAGCAAATGCCGGACGGATCCAAAAACCGGTGGATACATCCAAGGCTCTCCCGCATGCTTGGAGGTGAAGACCCTGACCAAGCCCACGGAAAAGACCCCGACGGCGGAATGAATCCCATCGACGAAGGCATAAGCGGCGATCCAACAGCCGGGGGACAGCAGGTACCTCCGCACGACCACCTCGCTGGTCGCGGGGGAGACATGCCAGCCCAGTACGCCGTTCAGGAAGCCGTCGACGCTGTCGCACAGCCGCGGGTAATTGCGCGCGAACGCGGCCTGGTAGGTGTCCATGGCCAGGTACGCGAGGAGGACGGTCCAGAGATGGGCGCGGAGAAAACTGCTGCGGTCTCCCACCGCCACGACGACCATGTTCCTGTGCTCCGGCACACAGTGATCGCCGCCCGCCTCGCCTTCCACGGGCCGCAGCGGCGGGAGATACTTGGTGGAGCCGTGATTCCAGCCGATGGCGCGCGGGTTGGCGATCAGATCGCAGACGCGCAGGAACCGGCGGAAGCCCAGGGCTCGCGGCAGGGGCTCCCAGGAGTACAGGATGGACGAGGACACATGCGAGACCTTTTCCAGATGTTCGAGTTCATCGAGATCCCGCAGGATCAGCAGCTCCACGGCGCGGATGATGAACGACACGCTCATGAAGGCATTGGTGTATGTCACAAAGTCTCCGTGGCTCTTGAGGGGGACAAAGATGGCATGCAGCGCACTCAGAACCAGAGCCCCGAAGAGTGCGGGCTTTAAACCGGGGATCACGGAGAATTTGACCTGCAGGAACAGGGTCGCCACCAGCAATGGTAATGTGAACATCTTGACTGTACAAAGGGGGGAGGGGGTCCGGGATCTCTGTTAGCAAAGCTATGTTCACAAGGTAATTTAGCAAGGATCTTTTTTGCTGAAGAGATAATCTAAATGCCAACAACATCAAGAAAAAGAAGGAACACGGTGTATAAGATTATTAGACTAGTGCACATTACATCGCATCGCATCGCATCGCCGTGGCAGCGCAACGCAACACAACACAACACAGCACAGCACAACCGCTGGAGTTCAGTTAATATTTTATCGGTCTGGCCGCAATGCAGGCTGGCTGGTGGTGAGTGCGGCTGAGGATCCGCGATGCTCCGCTTCATTATTAATAATCGCAGCCTTGTCTCGGACTTTAGACGCTGGTCGGATTCTACATTGACCCGACTGGGGGGTCCCATGGGGACGCGGTTCTCGCTGGGACCCTTTCAAGTTCTTTCTACAGATTGTCTGTGAACGTGGGGATCTGGCCCATGGTAGCCATACATAAAAACGTTATGGCTAGATGTGCCGAGGTGGCGCTCGGTCGACCCCGGAAACCGGAATATCGCAAGCTTACGGATGATGCGGGCTGCTCTTCATGGCCTTGTTGGTAAAGGGTTGGGTGGCGGCTCTGGGTAAAGTGCATTCTCTCGAAGTAAAAGTACTCAAAAGACAAACCTTCTTAACCTACTTACAAATATGCTATGTACATACATGGGCATGCTAGTTCCACAAGCTAAGATGGCATCTTGTCCGACGTTTGACAGGAGATATCAAAGGTGGATCTGATAAGCGCGCTTGCCCGGGATAAGCCAAGCGGTGATCGATGATGACTGTGAGTACTACTGTACTGTGTACTGCCTGGCGCTTTTATCGACTCATACCAAGAGGTCGTCATTTTGTTTGTAGAAGAGAAGTGGCAACAAAGCGTCAAAAGTCCTTCGCAATGATCTTTTCAACCTTTGTTGCCTGAATGCAGTCAGCAAGCATCTGAGCCAGTAATGACGTCATGGGACCTCAGCATAGAAACACTGTAGTTAGTTAGCAAGTCACAAGCTGTAGTCAGCAATACAAGGACCTAACTAACCTTTGATGCCTGGTTCCTGTCTTTGTTTCGTTGATGTTGGGTATATGTCAGAGCCGAAGCCGGTCTCCAGCAATTCAGAAGAAACTTGGAGGCCAAGATCGAGGCCAATAGAACCGCATCACTTCACGCCACCTGTTGGTTGCATACAAGTACAGTTCACACACCCCAATTCTCTGGTGCAAAGCCTTCAGCCAAGATGTCATGCAGTTGTACAGCCCATGTAGATCATAGGCTCAGCCTCAGCACCTCGCGGGATGTCATCCCCATATATACCATCAGTTCAGCAACTAGAACCCCTTGATTCTTTGATTCTTCCCCAATAATACAATCGGCATAGCGGCAAGACACAAGATGTCCGACCATCCAGCCACTGCGTGAGCCGTATCTCAAGACTTGTTGCAAATGCTGTTATCTCTGTACTGTACTCACGACCTCGCAGATCCCTCCTGACCACGCTCGGCCTCCGCGCGACTCCCTCCTCACCCACCCCCAACCACGCAGCAGGTTATATCATCGGCAACTGGTTCCTCGCCCACGGAATACTCAACCCCCGAGCAGCCATACGACGACTCGGGCAAGACCACAATAATGCTCCACGCGAGAATCTGCTCAAATACGGCGAAGCAGCCGTGCAAGCCGGCAAGATCACCCGAGGCCAACTGAACCGACTCAAACGGCGGGAAGCTGCCTACGAGAATGTCATCGAGGGGTTTCCGCTATTTATCGCCGGGGGTACGCCGTTTGTCTCTATCAACCATCCTCCAGGAAGCAAGAAATGCTAATTTTTGGAACCCCCTTCTTCCCGAGGGGGTGGGCTGAACAGTCCTTCTCGCCCTTCACGCAGGTGTCCCGACCGAGATAATCAACTGGATTGGGTTGTGGTTCTCGGTGATGCGGGTGGCATATGCAACCGCGGCCGTGGCGATTGAATCGGAACCACTGAACTTTGTGCCGTCGCTGCTGTGGTGGTTGGGCAACGTGAGTTGCCTCACAGCGTTGATGTTGGCAGGGAAGAGGCTGTGATTTTTCTTCCTCTTCTTGAGCTGAACAAGCTCTTTTGGGAAAGCTTCGCGAGTGGAATGGATTCAAAATCAGGCCGTGTTGGCCATCTGAATACTAGTAACAGAAGTAAGAAAAATCGTACGGGTTCATGTTTCCGATGAAAGTGGGGGAGGTTGGGGACGCCAAATCTGCGGGGGTTGCCGAGGTTGAGGCGTTGGGGAAATTTGAGGGTCGCGACGATCTTTCAGGGGAAGTCCTTTGCTTTGATGGGTTCGTAAAGGCAGTCGAGTCTTGCGTGTCCGTTATCCGATTTCTGGTACCCACCATCTTCAATTCACAATTAGTCACTGATCGAGTGCATGGTTTTTTGTGCTCGGAAATCCATCGCGTTGTTCTAGCGGAAACTTGAAAGAGAGCGATATCGGGGACTAACCCCGGATGTAACTTCTCCTTCTATAAGTCGTCACCACATTGCTTTTGCGGGGAAGAGTTGGACTTGTTGGCACTGAGTCAATATACTTCTGTTGAATGTCCACCTTGGCTTAATATCCTTCTCGTAATCGACCAGCCTCTCACCGCATCATCAACCCGTGCTGATGAGTCTGGTTCAACGAGCCAAGTCTGCATATTAACCTGGACCGTTTCTATTAGATTGATACAAAGTCATATCCCGACCTGCAGGCTCAGTCAATAACCGTTCCATCCATTGGTGGAAGATCCTCCAAGTCCGAGCAACGATCCGGGGAAACTACCCCAGGACCAGTGCATTCCCAAATCTTGGTACGGAGCTGTCAAAAAAAGAGCCAAGATGCCTAGCCATGACATCAGTCAAGGTAGCTCTTCAGGGCAATTCCTACAGGTGGAGAAATCAAGCTATGCCCCGGAAAGATTTCCCCAGACTTCTTTCCCCAGCGGAGGGGAATCTAGGGGGTGATGCAGGCGGTCAATATAGATCCTGATGTCAAGGACAGGCATAAATAACCAGACTGGGACGGTCGCTCGAGAAAAGGTTGAGTAGTACAAGCTCAATTGCAAGTGATAAGTCAATCATGAAGCTCGTTTCAATTGCTGCGCTTCTCCTGGGCGCCGTGCCTGTTGCCGTGAACGCCGCTGCCGTGGGCGGAACCCCCAATGGAGCCAAGATCATACCAGTCTCTGATGCAGCTGGCTTGAGAAGTGTGGGAGCGCATTCTTCCAAGTACCCGAACCGCAAGACTGTGACAATCCGTCCATCCAAGAACGACTACGACGATATCTCGAGTGATTTCCTTTGGGGAATCAAGCAGGCCAACCACGGCGGACGGCTGCTGCTCGAGAAGGGCAAGAAGTATGTGATTGGAAAGAAGTTGGATCTGACATTCTTGGACAATATTGAGGTGCAGCTGGAGGGTGAACTGAAGGTATGTTATCCAATGCTCGGAGGCAACCCTGGGGAGGCAAGATAACTGACCCAGATGGTTGTAGTTCACGAACAACATCACCTACTGGCAAGCAAACAACTACTACTATGACTTCCAAAAGTCAATCACATTTTGGCGCTGGGGTGGAAACGATATCAAGATCTTCGGCAGTGGCACGTTGAACGGCAACGGACAGGCTTGGTACAATGCGTTTGCTGGACTCGAGATCTTGGTAGGTTTTTTTCACCTCTCGCATAAGCTCAATGTTCAGGGCTGACAAGGCAGGACTCCTCCAACACCTTCTACCGGCCGATTCTGTTCCTGACCGACAACGCGACACGTGTATCTGTGGAGGGTATCACACAGTTGAATTCGCCATGCTGGACCAACTTTTTCGTCAACACCAAGGACATCTCCTTTGATGATGTGTATATCCATGCTTTTTCGACCAACGCTTCGGTATGTCAAAGCGCGTCAGGCCCCGAAAGCTGGCTAACAGCATAGGCTCTCCCGAAAAACACCGACGGATTTGATTCGTACAACGTCGATGGCCTGACGGTCACCAACACCCGCGTCGATATCGGCGATGATTGCTTCTCGCCCAAACCCAACACCACCAACATCTTTGTCCAAAACCTGTGGTGCAACAACACGCACGGTGTGAGTATGGGCAGTATTGGACAATACCCAGGAGAACTGGACATCATTGAAAACGCCTGGATTGAGAACGTGACGCTGCTGAATGGCCAGGTAGGTGCAACTAGACAATTGTCTTGTTGATCGAGGCTAACAAACATAGAACGGCGCTCGACTCAAGGCCTGGGCTGGACCAGATGTGGGATACGGTCGCATCAACAACATTACCTACAAGAACATCCAGATTCAGAACACCGACAACCCAGTAGTGCTGGACCAGTGCTACTTCGACATCAATGCCACAGAGTGCGCCCAGTACCCGTCTTCTGTCAACATCACGAACATCCTTTTTCAGAACATCTGGGGTACCTCCTCAGGAAAGGAAGGTCTAGTGGTTGCCGATCTAACGTGCTCGCCTGCCGCTGTCTGCACGAATGTCACCCTGCAGGATGTCTCGCTGACGAGTCCGGCGGGCAGCCCGGCGGAGATTATCTGCTCTGGCATTACGGGGGGCATTGGAGTGGATTGTGTGGATGAAATCAACTCAACCTCGACCAAGCGATAGTTTCATTGTTAGTGTGACCTATCAAGCATAACTGATTTCATTTCTGGCGTGTCGAGTACCTTGTAGGTATACGCAACGGGACCTTGCAAGCAAGGACCTTGGGAGCGGCCGTCACCAATCAGAACAATGATGATAAATTGCAATCATGAGAGCACCTTGGTAGCTTGCATCTATAAGTATAGAAGTGTACAGTAGAGATATTTGATGGAAATCTGGTGAGACGTGCCAATTCTTTCTCTATAACGAGCCTTGGCGCAGCCGAACGAAGATGGTCATTGACTCGGGACGGGAGACTCTCTCCTACAAGGCGGGTGAGATCAAGGCGGATGCCTCATCTAAGCCAGATACCAAGGATATCAACATCACACTGGATAAGGAGAGCAGGAAGCCACTTCCTGTGACTCTCCTCTCTGGGTTCCTGGTTCGTCATTCAGCATTCAGCATGAGAATTTCGTCGAGCTCTAGGTACTGATTCACGAACAGGGCAGTGGAAAGACCACTCTCCTCGAGCATATTCTCCAGTCGCCTGACCATGGCCTTCGCATTGCTGTAATTGTCAATGACATGAGCAGGTAAGTCTCCCTTGGCACGCTCATCCAGGGCTCTGCTAACGAGAGATCCATGCAGCCTCAACATCGACGCCACCCTTATCAAACACCACACCGTCTCCCACACCAAAGAGTCCCTGATCCAGCTCCAAAATGGCTGCATCTGTTGCACACTCCGGGGTGATCTTCTCTCCGAGCTCGCGCGCCTGACCACCCAGAAAGAGGTCGAGTACGTCGTTATCGAAAGCACAGGCATTAGCGAGCCCATGCAAGTTGCCGAGACATTCACAGAGGAGTTCAGCACCGCGATGGTTCAAGCCGAAGCTGAGGGAGGTGTATTAGACGAAGAAGGCAAGAAGATTTTGGATCAGATGTACTGCCACCCAAGTCTTCCTCCCCCCCCCCCCCCCCCCCCCCCCCGCAATCATCCACTAAAACTTGCCCACAGAAACACCCTCGGTGGTCTCCACCAACTCTCCACCCTCGACACGACAGTAACAGTCATCGATGCCTTCAACCTCCTCTCGAACCTTGACACCACCGACTTCCTGTCCGACCGCTACGGTGCGGACACGATCATCCCCGAGGACGAACGCACCATCTCCGACCTGATGGTCGACCAGATCGAATTCGCGGACGTGATCCTCATCAACAAGATGGATATGCTGGCGTCGCGGCCGCACGACCGCGACCGGATCATGCAGCTCGTGACGACGCTGAACCCGTCGGCGAAGGTCCTGCAGACGAGCTATTCCCGCGTCGACGTCAAGGAGATCCTGGGCACGGGCCGGTTTGATTTCCTCAAGGCGGCGTCCGGGGCCGGGTGGTTGCGCAGCTTGCACGAGATGAGCAAACTGAAGATGGGGAATGGGGAGGAGAGGTGGGCGCCTACGCCGGAGACTTTGGAGTGAGTTTTACGATCCCCTGGTGACCTACCTCACCGTTCTGCGGTTTGTTCCGTTCCGGATCTCAATTCAGAGAGAATATCCTCGGATGATTTGCTGATCAATCTTTTGTCCTCCCTCGTGGGAAAAACAGGTATGGAATCAACAACTTCGTCTACACTGCGCGACGGCCTTTCCATCCTCGCAGATTATACAACCTGCTTCATGACAAGTTCATTATCCTACAGAATGCGGCTGATGATGCTGGTGCTGATGATGAAGAAGAAGAGGAGGAGGAAGAGGACCAGGAAGAAGACGCTACCGCTGAATCCGACACGGAAATGCACTCCGATTCGGAGGAAGAGGAGGAGGAAGAGGAAGACCCGACCCAGCCCACTCCCCAAGAGATTCTAGCCAACAAACGCGCGCACCCCCTCCTCCAACCCCTCCTGCGTTCCAAGGGCTTCTTCTGGCTCGCCACTCGACCCTACCAGTTCGGCGAATGGAGCCAGGCCGGCGCCATGTTGACGTTGAACTGCGGGGGACCGTGGTTCGCCGAGGTCCCGGACGAGGCGTGGCCCGAGGACGGGGACGTGCGCAAATCCATCGAGGAGGATTTCCAGGGCGAGTGGGGCGATCGGCGGCAGGAGATCGTGTTCATTGGGGAAGGGGTGGATGTAGACGGGGTAACGGGTCTGCTGAATGAGTGCCTGTTGAGCACTAAGGAGATGAAGAAGTGGGAGAAGGTGATGAGGGACCGGAAGATGGAGAGGGGGGGGAAGCAGAAGGTGATGGCGGGGATCTGGGAGGATGGGTGGGAAGAATGGCCTGCTGTTGATGAGAAGGATGAGGATGAGGGAGAAGATGAAGACGATGAAAATGACGATGTCGAGGAAAAGACCGAGGATGGGAAGAAGAAAAGGAAGATCAGCGAGTTTATGCACGGAGGTCATGCCCACCACGGGCACTCGCATAAACATAAATAATTACATGTCTGGGTAGATGGCAGTAAAAGCATGAATAATATCTCTGTTCTCACAATGAAC